TTGTTTCTCAGAAATTAAAGCTGATGAGTTTACTCTGACTCCATCCCCAAAGCAAAGACCCCAGAATACCTAATTGTAGTTCCTGTTTACCTTATCTTTCAGACTGCATTTTTTTGTTCCCATATACTTCTGATAACCCCATGGTTTCTAATTTAGGGCATATCCCATATTCCAGATTGAGGGGGTGTGCATCCATGCCCTGTAACATTGGTGCCCAAGCATGGCCCTTCTCTTCTAAAAAAGTAGATTTCCAGACAAACACACTGATGAAAAATTAGAGTGTATGAATTTGATACTTTCACAAGCATATTTGATTCACTATAATCAGTGGATCAGTTGTTTTTTGTTATAAATAAACTTTGTGCATTTCTTGTTTGTCTTGAAATTCAAGAATAGCTTGTAAGAGCAGTATGCATAAAGTAACCAGAATATCCAAGGAATCTCAACCATTTGGTTTTGATCACATGGGCTTGGGATTTAAATGAAATAGAAATAACAGTCTTTGATGAAATGGGGTTTTGGACTCCTCATGGTGGGCTACATATGAGGAAACGGGCTTGATGAGTGTGTGGGTAACCAAAATTGGAGAAACTCATACGGATATCCAATGACTAAACACGTACCATCCTGGACATTGACCCTGTTGGTTGTCGCCGCCGTATTTCAAGCCCGACTAGAGAGCAGGAGATGAAAATCAAATTAGGATACAAATGCTGGGTGTGGGCATCGTGGTCAACTGACCGTACTTTCCAGCAGAGGTATCTAATGGCAACCAGGGCGCGAGATAATCCCTAACGGCAGAGTAGTTTCTTTAGCTAATTAGGTATGAATGAATGAGAAGAAAGGTGAGTACTTACATTGACCCTCAGAACAACACTTTTCTTCGATCTCTCGAGGCACACTATCACAATCCTCTAAGAAGGGCATGTAGAGAGAGTCTTTAGCATCCATCCCGGAAGCTGTTGGGTCTGCGCAGGAAGGATAAACTGATAACAAATGTCTCACCTGTCTGTGATAAAGCCGGAGTTGAACCGGCAAGCTTGAATGTGCCAATCAACAGAATGAGAAGACTGTTACAAAGACCAATGGCCCACATGATAGGAACGATTCTTTGATAGTTATCGGGATTGAGAGTAGGCAAAAGCAGATTGTGGCATGGACTCCTTGTGGCAGCGGTCGGGCTCAACTTGATGTCTGCTGTTGGCGGGTTTTATGTTCGGTGGCTCACTTGGGATCCTATAGTACCTTGTAGACTTCCAGACACTCGAAGTTCGCCAGTGTGGCTGGATTGGCCAATCGCACGTAGGATCAATGCTGTGCGAGGCTGTTTGCTTGGGTGATGTACTCCCTGGGATACATATTACATCTGAGTGGCTTCGACTGATTGGTTTTAACTTCTTCAAGAAGCTGCAGAACATGATCTGTCGTGAATCGTGATTTTTGGAAATTGCTTATCTCGTTCGTCCCAAATATGTATGTATACGGTGCCGCCGCTAGCGCCCCCGGACCTCATCCTCCGGACCTCCAGTCAGCATCACGATTCACCCAATGCTTGTGGCCAGTTAAGGCTTTTCCTCGTGATTAACTAGATTCCTAATCAGCCTCAGGTCACCGCTTCAGAAAGTGGAGCTTCACTGCATGATCATTCACTGTTCTTTGTTGGACTTACGTAGTTTTGCTTTCTTCTCTACGCGTCAAGTCAGGTACTTTCTCGACGTTAATTCTGGCACAAGCAAAACAACGTACGATACCTGCGCCGCCGTTTTGGCGTGATTCCTGGATCCGGGTTGATTGCGTCTATCTAGCCGGCAGCGCTTATACAAACAAACAAACAGTTTTTCTTCACCCGACAAGATTGTGATAGCGACTTACCTCGTGAGACCTTCTCTCAAGACACCACTGACTTGACTAGTTAGATGCATGACTTGACTGAATTTTTCTACAGCCATCAAGCTATCGACCTTAACGGTCTCAGGCCAACAGACGCGATTGACGTCATTCCTAGCAAGATCGACCAACATCACATGCTCGGCACGATCCTTGATTGAGCCGAGCAATTCCTGAGCCAACACTTCGTCCTCCGCCAAGCTTTTTCCTCTCCGGATCGTCCCCGCAATCGCATGGTTTTTGACAACCCCGCCCGGACTCAGCTTGTATAGACATTCCGGTGAGGCCCCGATCAGTTGGACCGCCTGACCACAGTTGATATAGAAGATGTACACCACCACTGCAGCTCGACCGCACCCCGGCGAGGTGTTTGCCGGGCAAACCGACCAGCCCCGACCCTGCTAAACCTTGCTGAAATCCGACGTCAGTTAGTCAGATTTGCAGCCATGGGGTCGGGGTGGTCAACGCACCGACGCATATCTGCCCGGCGGGCAAGCGGTCGGCCGTCAGCATGGCGCTGACGCCAGTACATTGTCTCAGGGTGCTGAAAGACCCTGAGATTATGGATTCTGGGGTGATTCGGTCGGGCTGCTGGCCTGAGGCGGTCAGGATTCTCATGCCGTGAGAAAAAAAAAATGGAGTCCGGACCGGACTCGGAGTCTCGGCCACTCGATCCATCAAAAAGACTGTCTTCCTAGAAGACTCGAACCGGGGCATCCCGCCATCAGACGGTTCTTCTCACCGCTCCACCATGTACTACTTGATTTATCCTGCTGATTTCTAACACATAATACCCCATCCTAGCTCTCTGGCAATTTTTTTTTCTCTAAGTCATTTTAATTCTTGAATTTTTTTTTTGTTTCAAGAGTCGACGCAAATGCCTGATAGGTTCCTTGATCAGAATGTCAGACCAGCGCAAGCTATCCCCTTTCTGAGTCTTGAAATGCCGAAATTTTTAGAGAACTTCACCGGTAGACGTTAAACAGATGAAGTCGGGTTTCTTTCTTCAGACGTTGGCTAGGAACGGCTTGAGTGATATCACCTTTGCAGATGTTTTGCTTGAGGCTGGTAACGAAGCTATCATAGCCCTGTTTACCCACGTTACTGACTGGCGGTGTACGGTCTTTTTTGGATGGAAACGGATCTTGTTGTACAGGTAGGGGAACATGACTAGATTCTAATTGATTGCACACGTCGATGATCTTCACCTTAGCGCGTTCGTAGGCCGCGCCGACCTGGTCTTCTGTGGCGGACGAGGCCGAGGGGATGATGACGTTGGAGACGACCTTGACAGTTTGAAAGGTATGGTCAAACACCTACCAGACGGTATCGCAAATCATGAACGCCGACTCGGCCATACCAATCGGGTCCGACAAGGGACGGCGGGTGGTGGGCTCGAAGTGGAAGACACAATTGGAGGATACATATCCTATTGCGCCACCTGAATGAGGGCAGAACCGCCATGGAAGAAAAAAAATAAAGATAATTTGGGCCCAAAAACAATTTCCTACTGCTTTCATTTAGTCAGTTTATTATTAGAATTCACTGGTTTGTGAATTCCTTTTTAATTGGGTTTAATTAGAAAAAGTTTAAATTGGTTGAAAAAGTTAAAGGTTTATTGATGAAAACCCACCAGATTTTCTTTAGAGATGACACTTTGGAACCTGTTGGGGGGTACCTGCCACATTTCAAAACATTCCCTACACACCAACAGCCACTATTTATGCAGGTAGAAGGTGCAGCAATGAACAAGGTTCAGTACTGGACCCTCCACCTGCACGGCTGGTGCCTGGTGGTATTGAGAGTGTGTTGAGAAGTGTGGCAGGTACTCCCCAATGGCAAAAGGTGTCAAAGTGTCATCTCTAATTTTCTTGCAGTACCTCCTATTTCAATTCAATGGTAAAACATATACATGTGTCTGGATTTATGATCTTATCAAGGGAGCTTGTACTGTTTGGCACAAATATTCAGGGAAGACCGAGTATCATGTTTGTTTTTCTGAATTCAAAAATATATTATATTTAGCTTGTCTAATTCCATCAGATTGGGGATATTCTGCTGATCATAGTTGGTGCAGGATATTTTACATTTTGTGAAACACTTTGGAAAAATTGGTGACTCCTTTGATGATTGAATTTCAATAATGTTTCAATGAAGGAAATGAACAATTCAATGTTGTAATTCATGAAGATCTCCAAAGATCTCCAAATGTTGCTTCAGCTCATGTAGTGATAAGCTTTTGATCTGATGGAGATATTAAATAGGGGTACTGTTTCCACTTCTAGACAACTTAAATAGAACTAGTTTTACTCACCAAAGACAACCTCACAAACAACTAAACCAGCTCATTTTTCTTCTCAATCACTATTTCACACATTCATCAGCCCAACAATTTTCAAGCAATCTGTCCAGCTATGAAGATTTCCTTCTTTGGTATAGTTGAGTATGACTTGTTTTTGCTTTCAGAATAATGTGAGATATACAAATCAGAAAACTCACAATATATAACTTGAATTTGGGTTTTTGTTCCCAGTGTTTTTGTCTTATGCCTATGACACTGCAATTTCTACCACCTTACTCAATTGAGGGAGAAATACGCAGTTATTTTTTTGATAATTCTCAGCGTTTGCATCACATCTCATCCACAAACAATTTTCAGTACTCTCAGAGAAATGTGCCAAACAGGCAGAGAACCTCAAATCATTGCCACATAGGTGCAAAAATGTTGAAATGGATACATCACCATTTTTCCCACTGTATTTCCAATAGGCAGGGAATGACAGATGTTGATGAATCTATTTACGATTATACTCCAGGAGCACATATGCATTCAGTAGATTATCTACCACCCCTCTCTCAATTTGATGAAACAGAAAAAATCAAAAATACTGTCCTGTTGGGATATATGCCTAGGGATGATTATCTGTCTCATGCTCAAGAACTGGATGAAACTTCTACACATCAAGTCTCAAGCACACCATTTTCTGAAAATTATGATCAGTCTGGAGGAAGTGGGATTGGTACTTCTTCAAATGGGCTCAAGGTTTCTACACATGAATTTGGAAGAACAAGAAACACTCTGAATCTTGAAGAAAATCAAAGTGAAATTCTTAGTGAGGGTGATAAGGAAGGGCAACTTCAGCAAAAAATCCACAATATACTGCCACTGAAACAAGTCATAGAAATGATAGGTGCATCTGAAGCTAGGAGGATTGGTGATAGTGGAATTTTGACTTCTGAAACAGCTGGGGGTAGCAGAGAAAGAAACAGGTTGAAAATTGACATCAAGGATACTGAATATTGCACTAATAGTTGCAAAGAAACCAAGAATCAAGATAGAATTTCTACCTCACATCCATCACTCATGATCAGTGGTGTCCTATTGGGAGATCCAGATGATCAACTTTGCACAATTTGCCAACATGACTTCCAGGGGCCACAACACAATGTCAAAAATAAGTTGTCTGTGGATTCCTTTGAGAAGATTTATATGATCAAGGGATGTGGACATTACTTTCATCATAATTGTCTCCAGAATTGGATACTTGGTGCCCAGAAAAAAACCTGTCCAACATGTCGACATCCAGTACAGCACATTGAAAAATAATTGCCTGGCTCAAGATGTGCTCTTAAAAACCTTATCTACCCCAAAATAGCCCCTATTCTAAGATTTTTGTTGCTCAAGAATTTAAAGTCTAGGATCACGTTTCTGCTTGTATTATTTTTCCAATCGAACCTAGTAGCAATTTTTTTTTCACATCATCTCATTTTTAGGTACATTTGTTGATTCATTGAATTTGAATTATTTCCCATTCATTCTTTTTGTTTCCATTTGAAGAATCTTTGTATTTTTCCCTTTTCTGACATTATGCTCGAACCTTTTGGGATTCTGTTATGAACTTGGTATTTTTGTGTCATTACTTCACAAAGTTTCTTTCACTGCCCCCATCATTCAAAAAAAAAAAATGTGTTCTTTTTACATACAATTTTTGGGTTGAGATAAATAAGCCTTTGGAGTGGAAGATTGTAAATAAATCACAGCCTGTGGGATGATCTTCAGAGGCTTACATGTGAGATTGGACTAGTGACTTGAAGCCATAAGTTGTGAGGGGTGAATTTCACCACTTCAAAACTATGTTCAACAGAAATATTCATCAAGTGTTTTCACCCCCTAAATAGACAAAAAGTGAGCATAGAATCTTGGCCTGTTTGTTTTGGTAAAAAGGCATGAGGAGCCTTGAGTCTTTTACCTGAATCCTAGGGAGTTAAAATTGTAGATTTCCAGAGCCTTCAAACCTTAATGGTCTTTGGTTCAGAGCCTTCAGATCATCAGAGTCTGTCTATGAAGGAACTACATAAGTATTTTGGCTGGAGAATATTGGAAGATGACCTGGAAAAAGGAAGAACAAGGTCTAGATCCCAAAAAAGGTCCAGTTAGCTGCTAGTGTGCATGGCAGACAAGCACTCACACTCCAAGAGGCTGTATCTTGTAGAGAACTCAGGGAAAAACTTGCAGAAAGGACTGATAATTGTTTTTATAACTCAGAAGCATGTATATTTATCTATTACAACTATGAGGGAGCAGGTTGGGCAAAACAAGTTATGATGAGTATGCATATGGAGCAAGAAAAGAGATGAACGGAGTGACAGGGAAGGGAAAGGGAAAGAAAGAGAGAGGGTGTCTGACCGGACAATGGCAGAATTCCAACAGCCTACATGTACAGATATGAGATTCCAAGATACAGTGATGGGCTGCTAAACTACACTATGCTAAATGGCCCACTAATTTTAGTGTAGCGGCCCTCAAAACAGTGTGCCAACACTGTAGTGTCAGCGCACTTTTAGGCCCACTGTGCTGTGTTACAGTGCTTTCAGTGGTACAAACAGCCAAAAAAACACTAAAATGTGCTGTAGCACAGCGTAGTGGGCAATTTTGTGTGGCTGCGCGTGTAGTGTTAGTGCAGTTGTGGCAGAATTCCACTGCATTACACTAAATGTTAGGAGAATTCTGCTACGTTACACTGTGCTAACACTATGGTTAGTGTGACTGGCCTGTTGTTGAAAGATACATCATAACCATGATGTATCAAAATTGAATATCAAGCTGTTAGTATAAGAATAAAAGAGAATTAAAAGCCATATCTGGCAGGGACCTGTCGGCATACTTGAAACTGAAAGTGACAGGTCCCAGCTAAAATTTCAGAGCACATTTTTAAGTTGCATTAATTGAGAAGTTAGATGTTCAATTTTGAACAACATAGGCAAGGATGGAAGTAATAGCTCAAGTCAGGGTATTATTGAAAACCGAACCAGGTGAAATTCACCACGCCTTATTTCAAGTTCAATGTTGAAACCTCAGTGACTTTTGCAGTCCAAATAAGAAAAACTGAAGATCAATCCCTTGAACCTTTTGCATGTTTGTGCGCTGGTCAATATTATAAAATCCAAGTCAGCCATCTGTGGCTGATAATTCGATTTTTCTTGATTTCATTACCAGTATTGGATTGATAACACATCTTGAACCATTAATATAAGACCAAAAACACCAAAACAGAAATGTAAGATTTCCAGAAACAAGAGGAAAATTCAGAGCCCACAAAAACATTTTATTGAGCCTGCATAAAATCCTGGTGTTCCACATGTTTTTTGGGGGGATTTTATGTTGAGCTTGCTCAGATGGTAGTTTGAATGGGAAAAAAAGAAAAAAGAAAAAAAGAAAAAAGAGGAAAGGAAAGGACATGTTGAAATTTTAACGCTAAAGCACGTAAGAGGTTGAGGGCCAAAAAAGAAGAGTCTCATTTTTGGGAAGGGCTCACGGAAAAAGAGTGTAAGAGCCGATGATTTTTTTTAAAAATATCTAGCTAGGTTTAAATAGACTAAATACAAGTGTGTCAAAATGTGGTTATAAGAAATGAAATGAATAGAAAAAACATATTGAATAAAACACTGAGAGAAAGAAACATGAGTCTTGGAAGTAACAAACTGGACAGGGCTTCTCAGTCTCTTTTAGTCAAGCCAGATGAGTTAATCAAGAAAAACATGCTATAATTCACAAATAACTAGAGTCGTTAATTCTAATTAATCAGGTTTTAATAAATCAAACAGTAAATCAGAAAAAAGAAGAATTCATCGTGGAGACATGAGTAGTTTAGAGTAAGCTGATTACCTATGGTTCAAATTTGACTCAAAAAGGGGCTTAAAACAACCAAAAACATGCTACTTGAAGAATATAGTCTGGTCTGACTTAATGATGACTAGAAAGAGATGAAGGGCAGAGAGAGACAGAATGAGAAAAATTCAACAGGACAAGATTGGACTGGGCAACCAAGAGAAATGGTTGGGGAGGCTGATTATTTGGCTCCCAGAAAAGAAAAGGTCACACCTTGGGGTTTGAAATGAGCCTTATAAGGATGACAATGGGGCAGCCCAAACCTGGCTGGGTTCAGGCTAGATATGGACAGCAAAATCCCAGTTTTTTTCTGAATTCAGCCCAGCCCATTTAAGTCCCTAAACAGTGCAGGTCAGTGTGGGCTGTCTAGCAGTTCCCCAATTAAGGCTTTGTATATTCACTTTGCCCATGAGCCTTTCATCTCAATTTCTCACATTTTATAGTGAGATCTTGACTCTAGTCTCAGCAATTAAGAGAGGCCCACACCTGGACAAGTAATCAGGCTTCCTCAATCTCATTCTTGATTCCAATTCCAATCTCAAACTCTATCTGTAATGCTCTTGCTCCGTCTCTTACTCACTCTTGCTCTCTCGTCCAGCATTAGCATGGTTATGAAAGTTGTATGTGTGTATTGAAGTACAATGGAAAGGAAAAAAAATCATAACTCTTTTTCTTTCTTTTTCTTTGATTGCCTTCTCCTCTGACCTCTGGGGCCCTGCCCATGGGCAGCCTGATCAGCCTGGGAGACCTGTGAGCCTCTGAGCCACTGCTGGACAGCCTGTGTTCACAGTAAAATGGACAAAGGTTTGGGATGGACAGAAAAATTACATGTTTTGCCCTGTTGGGGGTCCAAAATTCTAGCTGGTTGAGCTGGGTTAGACTGCATGCAGCCCTGACCCTCCTGATTATCATCCTTAGATGAGCCTGATTCCCCGTCCCAAAGCCCAGGTCACACCAAGCTTAAGGAGGCTGTGCTACAGGGCAATCTCCTAGAGAGGCTGAGGCCCAAGTTAAGGATTGGTGCATGACATCATTTTGCATTTACTTCAATCACCCCTTTGAAAAAGATTCAAAAGAAAACATCCCTCCTTGTCCTTATCCCAACAGATAGAGCTTTTGTTTCTTTGGATGTGCATTTTTTGGTCTATTCCAATCTCTGTTCCCTTATGATTTTGATCTTAATGTAGCCAAAAAAGAAAACAAAGCAAAATGAATTGTTTTTTCAATTCACATGGGTCTTGAATTAACATTTAGCTAATGTAATCCAAAAAAAAAAACTCATAAAAATTGCATTTTTGGAAAAAGTGATAAAATACTTCTATCATCAAAGTTAACAAATGGAGTAGAGGGAAAATACCAAGATGGTTCAGGCCATCATCCTGGCTCAATAACACAGCTAAGGTTTTTGGAGGTTGTGAGGTGCAGGTGCAAAATAAGGTGTTTTACACCAAAGTTAGTTTCTGATATCATGCCACAAACTTGACATTTAGCACAAGTCCCTCTACAGCTAATCCCACAAAGGTTGTCACCTTGAACTGGATTTTCTGAGCAGAAATTAAGAGATATTGCCAATCCATCTACAAACTAACAGTAAGTTTACTGCAAAAACACTGTTTGAGTTTGAGTTTGCCCATGAATTTGATATATTGCCCAGTGGTTTTTCTTGCAGGAAAATCCACACCAAGGGCAACAACCTTTCTGGAACTAGCTGTACAAATTACTGAGACACCACAGCTGCTCCAGTGCCTCTGCCAAATTCTGTACGCAGGACTTGCATCAGGTTTGGGGTCACACCCTTAGGCATGCATATGCTTTGTTGACAAGGGTACTCCAACCCCCCTTTTTGGTGTATGTATGTACAAATTGGTAGAAGGCAGTGCTCAACGAACAAGGTGAATCAGATCAAAGCGGAAGATATTAAAGGTTCAAGGACTCAAAGACTGCACCCACCCCTTGAAAAAAAAAACCAACCAAGAGTGTTAACAGATCAAGGATGTTCGTAAGATCAATATCAGAACAGTTTTACAAACTGATTCTAAAAAAGTTCGGGATGATCACGTAAATGATGATCTAGTTTGGGCCAAGATATCCCGAACGATATCCGCAAACTGATTGAAAAGAACAAAGTCTTGCGGAGAGAATGGGTGAAGTGAGGGCGATTGAGCGGAGGAGACAAGGTGAAGTAGGAGTTGTTGGATTCGGTCCTTGGAGCTCTTCGATGCTCCGTCGTCTCTTCTTGATGTATTTTGGTTTTGGTTCCTGGATGCCATGATGCTTGTCAAGAGATGTTTTAGGTCAGGTTGGGTGGCCAAGAGTTCTCGCAAACGGGTCGATGTAGCTACACAAAAAAAAAAAAAATCAAACATATTGTTTTTGGTTATATATAAGATGAGGAAAAAAAAAAGGAGAAAGGGATCAGTGTCGAGTAAAATGAGAAACGTTTGTTTGATGATTTCGACGGAGGCAATGAGAAGAGGGAAGATGATTTCAAGCACCAATCAGTTCCCATTCATGTTGTCTGATAGGTTTGATTTCGTCTTTCCGGAGCGGGTCGCTAAAGACCGCGAGTCGGTCCTGGTCGACCAGGGGCCAATCCAGTTCTGTCAACGGCCTCAACCTCGAACGAACCGGGTTGCCAGTTCCTAATGATGATGATGAGGAGGAGGAGGAGGATGAGTGTGATTGGTCTGGGTCGTTGGCTTGCTGGCTCGGCTTCTTGCTTGTTGTGCCTGGACAACTCGCTTGCTCTGTTGTTCAACCATGGATGTGTATAGAGTTCGATATATTCAAGTCGTCAGAAATCACTCGGTTTAAGTCAGTTGGTTTCTCCTGTGTTCACTCACCCTTATGCACTCGAAAACATGCCACCGAACAACTACAAAAAATAAAAGAACATCGGGATGCAGTTAGTCAAGTTAAGTGGATCTAGAGCAGGAGAGAGAGAGAGCACTCAACTATGGCGTCTGATCGTTAGGACACTTGTATTTGAATTTCTCCAGGTTGCACACCGAGCATACCGTCCGATCTTGTTTAGGCATTCCTTTTTTTGTTTTTTATTTTTCCTGAAATTGTTAAGTTGTTGTAACTGGGATGGTTTCGGCCCATCTCTATCTACTGCAAGCAGCCAAATAGAAATGGGCCCGGGCGGGCGGCCCGCCCCGCTTGCACCCTTAGGGCGCATACATACAACTCGACAACAACTGTATCAACTGTGTACAACTGACATCACATCCCACACATTCTGAACAGGAACCAGCAACCAGAACAACAACCAAGCTACCCCCCAAGGTCCACAAAACAACCCATCCGTCCCGATGACCGTCACCTCATCCATCGATTTGTCCACAATAACCACAGAAACAACGAGAGGGCCAGAAGAACAGGAAGATGGCGAACAACAGATAGTATTCATCAAGAAGAAGAAGAAAAAGAATAGTAACAATGCCACGCTTCGTTCTAAGGATGAAGTCTCGAAGGATCGAGTCAAGGAGGAGGAAGTGTCAGATGAAGCGGATGAGTTGAGTTTCCACCAATTTCCAGAAAAGATCACCCCCCCCCCCAAAAAAAAAAGCTAAATGAACGAGCAAGGTAGACTAATAAGTGTATGACTGATATATAGAGAAGCGCGAAGGACGGTAGAGGAGATGATAGCGCTTCGCAGACTCAAGCAGGCCAGGGTGGGCATCGAGCTCCAACGACTGAACGCGGGCGAGCCGAAGAAGAAGAAGAAGAAGAAAAACCCGAATGCGGCGGGCGAGGGGGCCGACGGATCTGAGCAGGGCGGCAAGCCGGTCGGCGCAAACACTGACCCGCTCGACGATGATCCTGTCAAGGACGATCGACTGGCAGACGAGTAAACAACCCCTTTTCTTTTTCTTGCTCTCTTTGTCTTACATCGAACATTTTCTTTTTTTCATTTGCAGTGAGCCGGAGGACGAGGACGCTCGGACACGAAAGATCATCAAATCTAACCATTTCACTCAACAAACCAACACCTTAGATGTAGACAAACACATGTACGTATCTCTTTTTAAGAGAGATATATAGAGAGAGAGAGAACTTGAAAGGAAATCTAATGGGGATCATTGGAAAGTACAGGATGGCCTACATAGAAGAAGAGCTACAGAGACGACGGACGGATGCGATTGCGGCGGGGACGATTGAGAGCTCGGAGCCGATCCTGAAAGGGCTCGAGGCGATCGCCTCCTTGGATCCGCGCGACGAGCTGTACAAGATCGCGGAGAAGTATCGGATCCAGAAGAAGCCGGTGGTCGAAGGAAACGTGACGCTGAGTGCGACGATGCTCACCTCGATTCCGGAGGTCGACCTGGGCATCGAGTTGGTCTATCTATTCCCTTCCCTTGCTTTCTTGACCCCTAGTACTTCAGATCCACCTTTCTTATATACCGAGGCTTTTTATTTTTCTCTAGTAATCGGATCAGGAATTTCGAGGCGACCGAGAAAGCCAAACGACAATTAACCGAACAACGAGCGCAGCAGAATCAAGCGAAGACGACGACGGGGTTTGGGGCGACCCAGGGCGGGCCGAGCTCTGGCGCCGAGCCCAAGGAGCACTTTGCCGCGGACCGGTTCTTGCTGCCGAACCATCTCAAACAGAACCCTTTGAACGAGCTCGATTCGCTCAAGATTGCCCGGCTCGAAAGCGAGGGTCTGTTCGAGGAAGCCGACGTGCTTCGCAAAGACCTCAAACGCAAAGCTTATCAACTTAAATATGGCAATAATAACAATTCTTCGACTAATGCGTCCACCAATAATCATCGCTTCGGATCAAACCATCATGGGCCTCGCTCTAATCAACTCGCAACTGACGATCGGGCCGTCGAAAACTTCCGCAAACGGATGGGCGGAAGACGTTGATCTTGTTCCCCCTTCTCTCTCGCTCAACATCAAATTCCGCTTGTATTTTTTTTTCCGACCGTCTTTTCTCCGTGTGTATATTTTGGTTCAGCATAAAACAGAGGAGACTTGGGGCGATACTGTTCAGGTGATTGTCGCCTCAAGTAATATGTACATTATGATACTATCATCAATTTGGACCAATTGACAATTCATAATCAATAACCAATTTCTATGATCCCTCCATTACATAACACACTGAGAATCTCATCTTCATATCTACAACCACACTAACACCCAAGAGCCTTTACACACCGTAACAAACAAAACCAAAACCAAAAAAACTTTACCCAAGCGTTATCTATAATATGTCAAATACAAATAATCAGACATCAACAAAAAAAAGAAACAATATGTAAAGATATATGGACATGAAAAAAGGAGGGAAGGCAATTGCATCAACGAGACAGAGAAAAAGAAAAAAAAACAGGGCCATGTAATGAAGATATGTAAGATCAGAGAAATCGGAGGGGTTCTTCTATGCCGATGTATGGTAGTGTGGGAAAGAGAATAAACAAGGTATCGATCGTGATGTGATGTGATGTACTTCTTCTCTGAGATAAAAATAATAACTGAAAAAAAAAAACTAATGTTGATACAAAATAAAAAAAAGGATCTAAAACAAACGATGATCGGAGACACATCTCACTATCTACCCACACCCATCGACGACGCCCGCTTTCTCCCTCCTGATAGTTATGAAGAAGAAGGATGTGGAGGAGCGTGTAAGAAGAATATAGAGGAAAGAAAAGGACGGAAGGAAGGAATGAATGAGGGTTTTCTTTTTGGTGGTGCCAGTGGTAAAGGTCACGTCAATAGGCCTGCTTCTTTGAGCAAGTTTTCGAGACATTGGGACTTTGCGGTTTCGAGGTCCAACATTCGTTTAGTAGCCCTACATACAAGCCAGTCCCACCGATAACCCATCCACGTCCGCCAAAAAAAACCCAACATCAACAAAAAAAAACCCCAATTTGTTGGCCCCCCCCCAAAAAAAAAGGAAGAACGTACCCTAAGAGAGTAGACAGCTGGCCGCGTTCGGCGGCGATTTTCTTGAGGTCCTGGACGAGGAGGTCGATGGATTGGGAGACCGGCAATTGGATGTCGTTGAACATCTTGTCCAGCTCCTCGTTGAACGCCTTGTACAGATGCGTGTCTCCTTCTCCAACTTTCGGAAAGGTCTTACGTCATTCGTCCCTTGTCGTCATCAAGCTAGCATTGGTCCTCAGTCCGCTCTAATTCTTTCTTCTCTACAGGTAATCATAATAAAAAAATTATCAATTTCCTTGTTTTTTTTTTTGAGCGTTGAGACAGGAGAATGGGAAACAGAAGAAAAAAAAAACTAACTTCATTGATCTCCTCCATAAACCGATTCTTAACGACCCTAACCCCATCGGCCTGAGTTTTCTGGACCAACCTAACTTTGCGGTCGACGGTTCCGAGGGCGGATTCGAGCTGAGAGACCAACTCGGTGAGCGGGATGTTAGCCTCGCCTTTAGTATGGCCCTTGGGGCCCTTAGCCTTTGAATTGTTACTGCCAGGTTTGAGGAGGGAGGATGGGTCCGTCGATTTAGCTACCTCCGATAACTACACAACGACAACAACAAACATCCCCGATATCAATACAAAAACTACACACACAAACACACACACATAAAACGAGCTGGAGGGAAGACGAACATGTAGTTTCCGAGGCGACCGCGGAATGCTCCCATTCACGCTCCGACTCCCGCCCCCATTATCTTGCTGATCATGCACCGATCCACCCATCGGAACAGAAGAAGAAGAAGGTCCGACTTGAAGGTCCACCTCGGACTTGAGTTTCTTGAGCTGCTGTTTCATCGCCTTGAGTCTGCCCTTAACTTCCCGAAACTATTTGTTTTTTTTTTTTTCGCCGTCGGTCACCGCAGAACCTCAGTTTCTGTTGCATGATAGATCAGCAAATTCCAAAAGAGAATGAATGAATGAACTGACTAATTCGCTCGTTCCGATGTCTTCATTTTCTTCGTCTTGGTCTTCTCTTCCTACGACCTTCCCCTCAGAAGCCGCACCGCCAAGCAGAAGATGATTATCGACACAGCTGAGTGTATCTTCTTCATCTTCGTCCTGATGTTGATGATGATTCATTTCACCACCACCAGCACCAGACGGGATTTTCTTCGGGACAGTGGCGCTCTTCTCATCCTCATCCTCATCCTCATTCTTCTTCTTCTTCTTATTGTGTAATTGATGATCTGGCGCAGGTTTTTTGTCAGAGATGGATTTTCGAACGTTAAGAGGCTGAGTGGTTTTGATGATTTTTTTCGGACCTTGATGATCATCATCCTCGATTCCACTTCTTCCAGAACCACAAGAAGAAGACGAAGAAGACGAAGACGAACGATGACGATGCGGGTTTGGATGATGAGGATGAGTATGGTCGACGGAGCGACTGCGTTTACCAAGGCTAGAACCGGAAGGGTTTCTGGAGCCGGAGGAGTGGTCGGCGCGAAAGGCGATAGGTTCGGGGAGTCTGAGGGGCCCCAAGGTGGCCGGTTTAGCGGGCTCTTTGGCCGGCGGTTCCGAGCGAGCTCTGGCCATGATCGTGTTATTCGAGGAGGAGCGGTCGGAGGGGGGGACGAGTTGGCGGGGGCCGACAAGGGTTCGTTGCCGCGAGCCGGCAAGGGTCTCAACGGAACGAGGCACCATCTGTTGTTGTAGTTGTTGGTTGTTGTAGTCGTCATCGTCATCATACGAGCTCAGGCCACTGACGCTACTGGATTGGGACTCGCTCTCAGCCCCGGCCCATCGCGGATCATCTTCCTCTCCCTCTTCTTCGAAGAGACTGCCAGCCCGGGCCTTGCCCTTAAGCGTGCTCCGAGCAGGACTCGCCGAGCGTTGTCGGTTGCCTTCCTCCCTCAATCGGGGAAGGTCGTCATACAAGGCCGAGTTAGGCTCGGCCGCCAGCTCCTGTAACCTGCTCGAGATCCCATTGCCCTTGGACGGGTTGCGGTACCATACCGGGCCTCCCGGCGACCGGGTCGCTGTGGGTTGGATTTCGCGCAGGGCCACCGAAGGAGTACCTGGCTGACTTGCCGTCACCCCGTTGGACGCGCTCTTCGCATGCCCCGACCGGAGCGACCTCGTCCGCGATAATCCCTCCTTGTTGCCATGGTGGGTCCCAAACAGTCGGTGCGGTAAAGCACTGTTGACCCCGTTCTCCGGAAGAAGTGTCCCTGATTTTGTCCGGAACCCGCGCGAGGGTGAGGGCGGATTGAGTGGCCCATTGTACTGCGGCTGTGACTGTTGGTTGGAGGCTGAGAAAATATGGCTTCCTCTAGGTGGAATGTCGGCGATTCCGTATGCTTGAACTGTTGCATATAGATTTAAATAAGTTACGATTGATTGAGGAAGGCTACTATCAATCAAAAAAAAAAAAAAAAAAAAACTCAACTGATCCGAACGATGAGGCCACTCAAACATTCCGTCTGAACGACGATATCTTCTTCGGCCTTATCGATCGACGCGTTGAGTGAAGGGAACACATGATTCGGTTTCCTTCTGACGTGAACACGACAATCAGGATCGTCAGGATCGTTGAAGTGAGCCCGGATGATCATCAGGGGTGGGGCGGGATCGATGGATTCGGTGACAAATTGGAGCGGATCGACTGCATCGGTACCCACTAATTGAAGTACCACTCTATGCTAAAAAATTGTTATGTATGTATGTTTGTAAATATTTTTAAGGGACAATCGATCATAATAATAATAACAAAAAGAGGGAGGGGGGCTTACTTTTCTCTGTTCGGTTAGATAACTTTGCTTATCATACAAATTCCAAAAGCTATCGATAACGGCCTTGTTATCGATCTCATTAACGAATTTAGTGCGCATGACAGTTGAGCGATCGTCAGCGGCCTTAACGAGAGCCTGAGACTTCCTAAGGTTATCAAGGAACCGATCGCGTTCAGCCAGAGCGGCAGCATAAGATTGTTGAGAGTTAAGGTTTTGGAGGGATTTGTGCGAGAGACTGTGGCTGGTGGGGTTAGGAGGTTGGTGATGGGAGGTGGAGGAGGAGGATGGATGGGCGGAGAGTGAGAGACTTTTCTCGTGGCCCGAGAGGGCGGGGGCGGGTGGAGGACAGACAACGTAGTGTCGGAAGGGCCGGTCGGTCCAGCGGTCGGAGACGTCCTGGGGCGGCCGGCCGAGATAGAGGTCGAAGCTGACCTCGCTCGTCGACCCTATACCGGTCTGGCCCGGCTCGTTGGCCACAATCACGTCGTGCACATCCACCAGTCCTTTGAAGCGCATGCTGCCTTTCTTCAGTTTCGTCGGCGTACTGTGGCCGCCGCCGAGCGACTTCGCAAAGAAGTCCGTGCCCCCGCTCACCACCGAATTCAACGACGAGTTATTTGTCTTGGCCTTCTTCATCGCGCCCACCAATCGGTCAATGTCGTCCAACCCCGCCAACGTCCGCCCCGTCAATTGTCCATTGGCGGGCTTCTTGGCTATCACGATCGTGTCGTTGAACAGGAATAGGGTGCAATGAAGCACTGTCGGACTCGGCGTGTCGGGGATGATGTCCAGCACGTCGATCGAGTCGATGAAGTATCTCCCCGGCTTTACTAGGATCGCGGGGAAATGATCGATCGAGCGATGCAGGCCCCACATCGTCGCGGCCTTGATCAGATGGTCATCCAGTTCGCATACGGCTAATCGGTTACAAGTGGCTATGCATGCCAAGAGACCCGGTCTGGCCGGGTCATT